CACACACACACACACACACACACACACACACACACACACACACACACACAAGTTCGTTTTTCTTTTTTCGTTTCTCAAAGTATCAGCACAGGGTGTACGCAAAGTGCCTTGTGGTGAGAGCTCACGAGCCCAGGCACATACCTCGAAAATCGTTGGCCTGTTTGTTGGACCCGGGGGCCTTGTCCCACTAACGTTCGGTTTTGTTTTGTCCTTCAGTGTGTGACATAGGTGCCAACCGCAGATCGTAATTTCATTGCTCCGCAGATCGCAATTTCATCTCTTTGCAGATCGTAATTTCATCGCCCGGTCAGGAATTGGGAAGGTAGCTGGGGCATTTTTTAATAGCTGGGGCATTTTTTTAATTGGCAGGCTTTTTGTTTTATGAATAGGCAGGGCGGGCAGCACGGTTCTGGTTGCTTGCATGCTATGGAGTACTATGCAAGAAAGGAGAACCTTGTCTCTGTACGTGGGAGGATTTCTTCTGAATCAAACGAAACGAATACACACACACGCACACGCACACGCACACGCACACACACACACACACACACACACAAACGAGTAACCTCTGGGTACGCACGTAAAATATCTGCCAAAAGAAATTACAACGAATGCGCATAGTCGTGACAATGCACGGACCACAGTGCTGCCCACCCCGACGCTTTCTGCTGTTCTATCCACACAATCCTCCCCTGGGCCATCCACGGACCCGTCCACGGCAGGTATGGAAGAGACCATCAGAGCTATGGCCGGTACCAGGAAGACGGGACTGAACCAGACGACCAACAGAGCTGTGCAAGCAACCACAGAGTGTGGAAAATGAGTTTGGCTATCAATGATGAAACGGCGGTCGGCCTTCGCCTGTGGGTAAGCCTGGGTAGGCTCTATCGTCACACAGTATTGGCTTCACTCCACATGCATAAAAGAGAGCACTCCTCGTGGAGTATCTTTCCATGATTACGCAGAACATTTATGCCCATTTACCAGTGTGATGACATAGGATTCCTCAAATTACCTTTTTTTTCCCACTACAAGTGTAGAGTAGCACACCTCCGCACAATGTCCCACACAGCCACACAGTGCACGGAACCAAAACAACACCTGCGGTAGTGGGACATGGCCCCCGGTACAGGCCTCTCTAACTGAACCGGTCCGCTTTTCAAGGTGTCATTTCCCACATCACCCCTCTAGTAAAAACAAATCAAATCTTCTCTGCGCCCGAGGAGTTTGGGATCCCAATTATGCAAACACACTACTATACCAGGTAATGGCAGGTATACCTTCTTCTCCCAAATACACCGTCATTACTATACCAGGTTTTTTTCCAGTCTAAATACAACTATTATGCACTATAATGACCGTACATCGTATTGGAGGAAAGAACGGGAACCATCCCGGCAAAAGACTCGACGTACATGATGCATCCACCAATTGTTGAGATTTCAATTAAGAAGTGAAGCATTTGGCTGTCGGCCAGAGTTCGGAGAGTTGGTTCTGCGTGTGGGGAATAAAGACCTGGATAAGGACTGTAATCTATTCAGAATGTTTGGACCTCCTCAGGCTTTTGCTTGGGCCAGCCGTGCTTCCCTTAGCTTTCGATCTGCACCTCCCTTTTGGATCTGTATTTAAGAATTTCCCCAAAGTATAGGCAAGTGTGGTGAGTTCCCTGGAATACTTCTCGGGGCTCCATACTTCTTGGGGTTCCACCACCCGTACCGTACTTAATGACGAAAAGTACCAAGAGAGCACCCTCTCACACCGTAGAATTGTTTTCCACGATTGCACCGGGGCCAGAATCCCGCATAGATGCATTGTACCATTTTTTTAAGAATTCTTGGAAAACGATACCATCCCTCATAGTCTTAAGTTAAACCACCGTACTTCCTAGTGAAACGGTTTCACCCAGTTGACCTGGTACTGCAGTCACAGAGATTCGATCCCTAGACCTGTGCCCTAACCCTGTACATTGACCCTGTGTGCCGAGTGAGATTCTATCCCTCGACCTACCCTGTACCTGGACATAGACTCCATGACCTGAGTAGGATTCGATCCCCAAACCTGTCCCACGGCTTAGGTTAGTCTGTAGTTTGGTCAGTTGGACTTGATCCCTAGGTCTGTAGATTAGCAGCTTGGTCTGTTACCAATAGGCCTAGAGAGTCTGTTTTACAAGTCTCTACTGAGTCTGTCCAAAGTCTGTAGAGTCTGTAGGTTCTAGAAGTCCGTAGGGTTCTGTAGGGGGGGTCCACCCAGCATGTACCTGGGTAAGGGCAGCACGTGGGGAAGGTTCTGGAGCATGCAGAGAGTTCCACACGTTTTGGCCCAGAAGGCCAAACGTCTGGAAGCTTCCCTGGGCCACACGTTTTGGCCCAGGCCCCAGGCCCACAGGTCTGGACGCAGGGTCCCAAGAAGTATAAATAAACAGGCAGCGTCCAGCCATTCATTCATTCGCCTGTGAGCCATGCGGAAGAGCTGCCTTGGTATCTTGTGCGTGGAGGTCTGCAGGTGCCCGGAGAAGAAGTGGGCTGTGAAGAAGACAGCAACCATAGCGAACCAGCAAGGGAGACACCGGCGGCCATAGCTAGGAGGATGAAGACGACAGCGGCCATAGCCGCCCAGCTGTTGGTGTAGACAAGTGTACAGAGTGTGTGACGCTGTGCTGAGTGGGGACATTCAGGGTGATCCTCGTACGTGCATACATGTGAGAGTGAGGGAGAGTGAGGCTGGTGGTAGAGACAGTGTTCGTGCATACATGTGAGAGTGAGGGAGAGTGAGGCTGGTGGTAGAGACAGTGTTCGGCGGCCATAGCCGCAAGTTGTACAGTTGTTCTGAACAGAGTTTAAAAGCAAGTTCATTGTTGTTTCTGAGTTGGAAGAGCTTGGTTTGCCATCGGTTCTCAAGTGTGCATGTTGTGAGCAAGTCCAGAGTTGAATCTGATTGCACTCGAGTCCGTTAACGCGCCACAATTTTAGAAAACGTACAGGCTACTACAGGAGCGCCCAAATTCATCCAGCTAGAAATGTTTCTACTCCTTTTTCCGCGGCCGATGGCTGGGCCAAGTACTGGTGGCTTAAGGGCCCCCGGAATCAGCACTCCATTGCGGAGAACAGAGGAGAACTCCCACTTTCAGTGATTGTAGGGGATTCTTGAGTGAATGCAAGCAAAATCAGCGGAGGGAAAAAAAGTGGAAATGGTTGTGGAGCCCAAAACTCTTTAAGGAAATTCTTAAATTAAGTCGGTGGAGCACAACCCTTAGAAATGATGCCATCCTTTGGTTGGTAGTAATTTCCCCCATCCGGAGAAGGAACTTATGCCCACTCCACGCATTTGTACTAGTGGTTATTAGATGCCCCCAAATTTGGGGGTTTTCGCTGCATCACAGCAAACAATGTTGTTGAAACTTTTGCGAACAAACTATGCAGGGTCATTCTGGGCCTTTTTCTGGCCTTCTCCAAAAACTGCAAGTGCTCTAGAGTCGTATCCTTTACCACCGTCTTGATGCCCGTCATTGCCTTCTGAGTCATGCGAAAATGGGCATTCTTCATCTGTATCGAGCGTAGTCTAAGTCTCTCGGCTAATCATAGGGGTCTCATCAACGGCCGGTTGGTCAGTCGCTTTGCGGGGGTGGCCATAGGGGGGCTATCCCCGACTGGTGTCACCGCATTTGCGTTTCTCACTAATCTGCAGATTTATTGCCTCTTCGGTGATCTCTTCAACTTCATTAGTAGCTTATGACGCTGCAGATGTCGACGGACGGTCAGCTACAGCCTTTCCCTTGCCTTTGAGGTCGACCAGGTTCTCATGAATAGCTCGGCAGACCTCCGTCTTGATAACATCAGGGATGTGGCTAAGGCGTAGTGCCACCTGCACGTCAACCACTTTGGTCGTGGCGTCCCTCTCCTCTTCCCGTCGCCGCATCTTCTCCAGTTTTTTCACCTTACATATTTCTTCTGCTCTCTTCGCTTCGGCTGCCG